AAAAAAATCCGCATATCATAGAAAAAGTTCCGCCGAATCGCGAACATTTTCATCGTTATTAATATATAAATATTTATAGACTAGAAAAAAATAATATTTCCTCGACTCATGAGGACAATGAACATGTAATAAAAGAAATTGTTTGTGAAGCTTTCCGTGTGTGGATTGAACCGTATTTGTTTGTGCACGCCTGTTTAATACAATTCAATGTTCATTGCTCTAAGAGCGTAAAAATATTGAATAATTTGAGTTAAAAAAAAAAGTAAAAGTTAAATGATAATGTGAAGTTAACAGCATGAAGATTTCGCCGCTTCCGCCTCCACCAGATTGAAATCCATGCCGTTCGGTCTCGCGAATCCCGTCTTGATTCCGTCCCATCCGTCCTCCACTTTGTATTCCCCAGTCTGTATCCGGTTGTACACCTCCTGCGTTACCGATTTGAAGGCCTCCTCCACGTTCAGACCGGTTTTCGCTGACGTCTCGACGTGGAAGAGACTGTTCTGATCAGCGAAATCTTTGGCCTCCTCCTTGGACACCTCGCGTTGTCCCCCATTGCTGACTTTATCAACTTTGCAACCGACCAACGCGAAGACAGGTCGATGCGGTTCTATGTGCCTCTTGGCCTCTGACATCCACTGTGGGATGTGCTCGAAGCTATCCCTCTTGCATATATCGTACACAAGCAGAGCACCGACAGAGTTCCTGTAGTAAGACTTTGTGATCGATCGGAACCTCTCCTGACCAGCCGTATCCCAGAGCTGCAACTTAATCCTGGTGCCATCCTTGACCTCTATCAGCCTCGCAAAGAAATCAACACCAACAGTTGGATCGGAAATCTTAAAACATTACATTTTTTTCAATTACAACTTTCTAACATCAACTGGTCCATGAAAAAAACAATTGAAGCATACCTCTGCAAACTTGCCATCCGTGAAGTACTTGAGCAGGGAGCTCTTACCGACGGTGCTGTCTCCGATCAATATTAGCCTGAATTGATAATCGAATATTGGCTCGACCATCTTCCTTAAAACATTGCTGTTGCGATCAAACTCGACCTTTCAACAATACAAGTTTATTTTCGTGTTACTCATCTACGCTGCTCAGCTGACACAAACAAGTAGCACCAGACAACCAATCGCACCAACGCAAAAACGCGAAAACTATTGCCATTTCAAACAACGAAATTTCCACATTAATCCGCGCCGCAACCGTTAATCCAATTCGCGAATCCCTTAAAATACTCAAATCCAATTAACCGAAACCATTAAATCGATTCCAGAACAATCGGATTCCAAGATAAATCAATTTTTATAAAAGAAGCAACACGGGTTGCCTATACTAAATTTAGTTTAAATTTAAAATTTTCACAATCGCATTAATTCCAATAATTATCTAAATTTGCTTAATAACGTAAACTGTTTACAAATCTCTTTGTTTATCCATGTTAAATAATAAATTTAATATTTCATTTGTTGGGGCAATTTAAGGTTATCAAAATGTTATCTTAAATATTATGTAGTCGTTAATTCGGTAATAGAGTGTAAGTAAGTGATCATGTAATAAGTAAATTCTTATTTGAATGCGTTCTTAACCTTCAAATTGTTTATTTGTAGGTCATCTGTACTGTGCGTGTGTGATGGCAAAGGCTATGGACAGTGTGCTTGCGAAGGGCAAGTTCAGGGGGTCAATGCTTGGCTCCCTGATCGGAGACTGCATGGGTGCCCCATACGAAGGGGAAGAGTTCTCACATGGGTTGAAGACGATGGTCAGAAAGTACTTTGATAAATTGGATGGACCTTACTTTTCTGGTGAGTTGTTGCATCGATTGAGTAATAGAATGCAGTTGTTTTTTTTTGTGCATTCTAGACCTTGAAGTGTTCTTTTAAAAATAGATTGTTTTTCGTTCGTCGCGGCATGCTGTTATGAGATTTGCATTTTGCATGTTTGAAATTGTAAAATTTGCAAAATTTATTTAATTGAATATTAATTATGTAGATTTTATTAATTATAAAGTTATTAAATTGTCTACTTTTTGCTGGTTATGTACATATTTACTTTGTTAAGTACTTGTCAAGTGGCATGTAGTGAATTGATTACTTGTTATTGATATTATATTTTTTTCTATAGCTCCGTTCAAGCCTTATACCGATGATACGGCTATGACTAAATCCGTTGCGAAATGCCTGATCGAGAAGCCGACACCCCTGGACGTTAAGTATCTGGCTAAACTTTTCGTGCAGGAGTATTTCCTGGAACCTCGCCGAGGTTACGGAGCCGGCGTCGTCGAGGTGTTCAAGAAGTTGCGTAAGAACAAGTTCGAGGACCTGCAGAGACCCGCCGCGGAACAGTTCAATGGAAGCGGTAGCTACGGAAACGGTGGTGCGATGAGGGTTGCCCCGATCGGTCTCTTCTTCAACGGAAACTACGAAGCGATGATCGAGGCGGCCGAACGATGCACCAGAATCACGCACACGAATTCGCTGGGCGTGAACGGGGCTTTGCTCCAGTGCATTGCCGTCCACCAGAGTTTCCAATTGGATCCGAAGGAGAAACTCGACGTGACGAAGTTCGCCGACGAACTTATCGCGAAGATGGAGATCATCGAGCAGGATCAATCCGGGTATGATATTAACAATAAACAAATTACAACAATAACGTGAATTAATTTAAAGTATCGTTGATCCGAACGAGCCGACGCCTCCTTACAAGGAACAACTGTTGAAGGTCAAAGAGTTGCTGTCGTGCGACGACCCGAACGATCCGATAGTCGAGGAGGAGGTGATCGGATCCTTGGGGAATTCTATCGCCGCTCTTAATTCCGTACCAACCGCCATCTATTGTTTCCTGAGAGCTCACTCGGAAATACCCGGGATCGAAGTAAGTTTTGTACGAAACAAAGGAAAGATAAACTAACAATTGATTGCAGACGGATAATGCCTTCAGACGTTCCATCCAGTTCGCGGTGAACTTGGCAGGTGACTGCGACACTATTGCCTCGATGACGGGCGCGATTAGTGGCGCCTACTTCGGTGATTCTTGCATCGGTGAAACTATGAAGAAACACTGCGAGTATCACGAGGAAGTTACACAGTTGGCAGACAAATTGTACGAAGCGTCTCTGATCAAATGAAAAGAGAGAAAAATGATATTGATTGCAAGTAATTATAACCACTCGATCGTCTCAAATCCTAAATGTATTTTTAAATAAAATTATCTTAAATAAATATAAATTTAGTTTTAATAGACTAAAACAGTGTTTCTTAACCTTTTCACCAACATATTTGTTTATAGTTGTACAATTGCTATGTTCTTTGCTTTTACACAAGTTGACAGCTGTCATTTCGAGACCTACTAAAAATGTTTCGTGAGCGATAATAATTTTACTTGGCAAGTAGCGCGTAACATGGATGTGAAAGGAAATACAATTGCTATATTCTTTGCTTTTACACAAGTTGGCAGCTGTCATTTCGAGACCTATTAAAATGTTTCGTAAGAGATAATAATTTTACTTGGAAAGTACCGCGTAACATAGATATGAAAGGAAATACAATTGCTATATTCATTGCTTTTACACAAGTTGGCAGCTGTCATTTCAAGACCTATTAAAAATGTTTCGTGAGCGATAGTAATTTTACTTGGCAAGTACCGCGTAACATGGATATGAAAGGAAATGTTTATAGGCAATTATTGTTTTTGTTTTTTTTTGTACGATTGCAAACAGAACATCAACAGTCGTTTTCATTACATTATTTTATGCTTTTCCGCATCCACATTTATTTTTAATAAAACGATAATCGTATAATACAAAGTTTAATAAATAAATATAAAATATATCAATTAACTATGACGATGTCCTCCTGCAAGAAGATAACAAAAACTGAAGCAAACAAGTTGATATTATTAAAAGAAAGCTATTATTTCTTGTTTTTGCATGATAATTTGTTCTATTTGTTTGCCGTTATTATTATTATTATTGTTACAATCGGACATCATATATTTCCACAGCAGCGGCGAACACAATAATTTTGTTGGCCGCCGCACAAAACATTTCCTACGCATATACACAAAAAAAAATATATATATAAGGTAATGAATTCTTTTGATATTTACAAATTTGCCGGATATTTGTAGGTCTGCGGTATAGCAGATGCGTAACTGGTGTTGTACATCTGCGCCCTGATGAAGGCCTCCAGATTCTCCGGTTTCGGGTAAACAGTTGCAAGACCTACAACGAAATATACAATTTTTAGCAATTGCTGCAAAAAAAAGAGTAAGAATTATTTACCAGTTTTATAAGCGTTTTCAGCTACGTTCACAGCGATTTTCACGGAACATTCTTGAATGTGCTGTAGTGGTGGGTACAATCTGCCCATTTCCAAATCATTTTCGCAAACGATGTTTGCTAGAGCCTAAAATATTATAATTTTTAAATAGATTCTCAAATTGTAAGATTTAATGGATTTACCTGTGCGGCACTGAGGAAAATCTCCTCTGGGATGGTGCGAACTCCGGCGCAGATGACGCCGAGCGCGATTCCTGGGAAAATGTACGAGTTGTTTCCTTGACCCGGATGGAATGTTTGACCGTTGTAGGTGACCGGATCGAAGGGAGAACCGCTGGCAAAGACGCATTTACCCTAAAATAACAATATGTTAAATAAATAATGCTCTATTTGTTTTTTTTTTTTAAATTAATATTTACGTCGGTGTTGATGTAAGCTTGCTCTGCTGTGCATTCGGCCTTGCTCGTCGGATTGCTGAGAGCGAAGATGATGGGTTTATCGTTGTTCTTGCCCATCTCCTGGAGGATTTCGGTGGTGAAAGCACCGCCGATAGCCGCAGCACCGATGATGATGGAAGGTTTAACAGTCTTCACGACTTCGGTGAGAGTGTGAATGGGAGCGTGATTCTGGGCGTAATGCAATTTATGCTCGGTGATGCCACCTTCCGGCCTATCCTTAACAATGAGACCCTTCGAGTCGACCATCCAGATCTTGCTCTTAGCATCAGCTTCGCTGGTTCCCTCCGTTTTCATAGCCATAACGCAGAGACCGGCGATTCCAAGAGCGGCTTCACCGGCGCCTTGGAACACGATAACGTTATCGGAGAGACGCTTCTTGGTGATCTTCAGAGAAGCCAAGAGTCCAGCCACTGCGACGCAAGCCGTGCCTTGAATATCATCGTTGAAGGTGCAGTAACCGTCACGGTATTTATCCAAAAGCCTGAACGCATTCGCGTTACCAAAATCTTCGAATTGGATCAGAGTGTTCTGACCGAAACGCTGCACGGCAGCCTTCATGAACTCCTCGATGAAATCATCGTACTCTGGTCCGCGCACTCTGTTCTGCTTCAATCCAATGTACAGAGGATCGTCGAGCAGAGTTTGAGTATTTGTGCCCACGTCCAAAGTGATCGGAAGGCATTGATGTGGTTTGATACCGGCCAACGCAGTGTACAGAGCCAACTTTCCTACAGGAATTCCCATACCGTACGCTCCCAAATCACCCAAACCCAGGATCCTCTCACCGTCTGTAACGACGATGGCACGCACATCGCTTTCGGGCCAATTCCTCATGATATCGTAAACGTGTCCCTTATCGTGAATCGTAATGAACAATCCTCTGGGTCTTCTGTAAACCAAACCGAACTTCTGGCAGGCTAAACCCACAACCGGGGTGTACACAAGAGGCATCATCTTGTCGACATTTTCAGAGATCAACCTGAAGAACAACTTCTCGTTACGGTCCTGCAGAAGAAGAAAAAACAACAATTTTAATCTCTATACCCACAAGAAAACATTAACAATAAACTAACCAGAAGCTCCATGAGGAAGAGGTACTTGTTCAAATCGTCGTCGAGACGCTCCATGCACATCCTGCAATGCTCCAATTGCTGCTCCTGAGTCTTAACCCTGGGAGGAAGGAATCCCTGGATACCCAAAGTTTGCCTTTCCTCCATGGTAAAAGCCATACCCTAATTAAAAAAAAACAATAACATTACTAAACTAATTAAAAATATAAAGTTATATAACACAATATCTTTGCGTGCACATTTGGTTGCATATATCAGACAATAACCACAACATTGCGCAACGCATCTATAATTGCGTCACATTCAACTTGTTTCTTATTAAACAAATCGTTACTTAAATACGAAACAAATAAAACCTTACTTCCGTTTGAAAATCCGCCGCATTTCTTCTCTTACATTGCGCACAAAACGATTTAATCAAACAAATTTAAAAACTTTAATCACTAGAGAAACGTCAAACTGTTGCAATTCTCATTTTTCACACATAAACAAAAACAATCGAAGAACAAACATCAATAAACACAGCTCACTATGTGTTCTCGCAATTCTTACGACGCCGAAAAACGAAACAATTGTAAACATCGATTGTTTATTTATTTCTATTTTTAACACACTTGGCCTACTCTATTTTTGCTTCAAAGATACAAACGAACAATTGAAAAAGATCGTAATCATGGCATTGCTTGTAAAAATTTCAACTTCGTTTTCTTAACGAAAAGTAAAAAAAGAAAATGTTAGATATTTGAAAATCAATTGGAAATAAATTATTATAAATTAATTGAAATTAGATGTTAATGAAAACTTTATGAATTTTTTTGCTAAGTTAAGAGTTTTTTTTTTATTATACGCAATTGATCTCGATTCGATCGAAAGTAAAAAAAAAATGGTTAATTAACCTTCGCAAGGACTCAACGCTAATTAAACTTGGTAAGGAAAATGAGTCAATGATACACTTTTACTTTATTACCGAAATAAAATTTAAAAAAAAACATTCGAATTTGAAGCAAGCGTTAAAATTATCGCAGTCGGCCGACCGAAACATTTGCATAATGAGGAATCGCGCACGGCCATCCTGACTAAGGACTTTCGATCAAAACAAAAACATAAACATCGTGTCGAAACAAAATGCTGTAGATTAATTAAAAAATAAATAAATAAATAAACAAATGATATCAGCAGTAAATGAAAGTGAATTATTATTATTAGTCACGTTTCCTGCTGCGAGAATAATCTGGGTGACCACTTTGGTCCACATCCAAGTGCGAGGAAGGAAGGCTAAGGTCAAAGTCGCTCGAATTGATCCATCCATCCATCAATTCGTGTCTTGCGATTGGAGCGTATAAACGAAGCGATATTGTTTAGTCTGAAGTGGATAAACAGAGGAATTTTACGGTTTATTAATTGCTTTTGCGAAACAGGAAAATCCACGAGCGTTTTAAGGTGCGTTCTCGATAAGATCGTTAGAAATTCGTTGGGTTTGAGCGTGTAATTGCGTTCTGACTTGTATTTGGTGGTGTTGCAATTTCGGAAGAAGTGGAAAGTAAAAAGAGATTGCAAAATCGAGAACACCTTGTGTCCCGAATTAGTCATAGGAAATAAATGAATGACGTAAATCGTTATGATCGAGTTGGCGTGAGAGATAGAGAAAGAACAAGAGTGATGAAAGAAGAACGGATTTGCGAAAAAGAAAGCCATAAGACGAGAGAAAGAAAGAGAATTTCTTTTCTTTTGTTTCGTATCCGATACGTCACGCAGGAAGCGCCGCCACCTCTCCGAAAATTGCCCGCTTCCCGGTCATTATTTATTTTATCGCCTCATTATTATATCACCATAGCAACGTACTCGCACCACACACACACGAGCATTCACAATTACGTTGACGAAAAAATTGAAGTTTTTAAAACAATTGTTGCTGCTCTAATCAATAAACAATTATTATTTATTTACATCGCAATAGCAACCACTTTAACAAATTAATTTTCATTGGTCCTGAACAGGAATTATTTATATTTTCAAAGATTTTTACCTAACAAATTTCAATTGGTTTTTACAGCAAACTTATTGGGCGAGCAAAGCTGTAGTAGTCGTCAAAACTCGTTACAAATGTATGGAAAACTATAGCTTTCGCTCGCCCATCAAATTAACTCTCAATACTAATTGAAATTGTAAGCAAGTTTTATGATGAGCTGAAAGTGAGTTATGAAAAATTGTTTGAATTGAAATTCCTGATTGTAGAAACAACATCAATGTTAATAATGTGAGCGCGTTGATTGCAGCAGGCTAATTTAAATGTAAACAATTGTTGTTCAATTGTTTTTTTTTTGCAACGCCTACTTTGTTTGTTTCGTAGTCAGCGCGAACCAAGCGAACAAACGAAAAAAAAATTAATACATAAGAACGCAACAAGTGAGAACTTTCCGTTCCGTCGACGAAATGTAGACTTTGATTCGATGAAAGTAGTGTGCGTTGAATTGGACGATTACGAGGAGAGACCACAGTCCAATTAGTTAACTAACACTCTCTCGCTACTCTCTTCACTACATTTATATAAGAGAAATGCAACGCTTTGTAACTAATAACAAGAAAGAAAAAACGTTCCAATTGGACACAAAAACATTTCAAAATTTAATTATAAAACGACAAAAACGATGAATATTTTGAATAAATTATATTAATGAGTACAGGAGTGAAATTTCTATTTTTTTTTGCATAACCAAAGGTTATTTTACAATTTAAAACATTTCAAAAGACCGGTTTAAAAGTTTAAAGAGAATACTTTCGTTTTGAATGAAGATTACTAAACTTTCAAGCGGTATTTAAATAAATTGTAATCTTCGGTGAGTGTAGTTAAGTAAGTAAACACGAAATGTTTGTTATAAACAACAAAAAAACCGAAATAGACAGATAAACGGTGGACTTTAAACGTCGTTGCATGCGAAATTTGTACATGTTTCGCAGTTTAAAAGAAAGTTAATTGTATGGATAATTTAGGCATTAAAAACTGAGTATAATTCGTGCTTTTATAGAGAGACAAATAGAAAACGATAAAATTAAACGACTTATTGAAAGTTCATAAAAATAGGTCTATAACTGCTTAAATTGTTACGCGATAAATAAAACTAGTTAACATTGAACATTGAACAAATCATAATAAAAAATGTTTCATTAAAAGCATTTATTATCATGAATGCTTTAAAATAATCTGTTTTCTTTTGTTTAAAAACAAAAATCGAAACTCATTACGTTGAGTTGAAAAAGAAAACAATTACGTTCCTATGGTGAGGAAAAATTAAAAAAAAAACGAATGCTCATATCCGCGTAAACAATTGCAAGGCGCGTTTTTAAACAAAAGTGCGGCGAACAACGGAAGTCCCCACATGTGTGTAGAGGATAACCTCAGTTGGTTTGTGGAAATGACTTGCGTCTACTAGTAATTTAATAGTTGTTAAGGTCGAATTGCGGAGGAAAAACTCTAATGGTAATTCCAAGGTTTTTGAAAATTTGAATAGCGGCGCGCGCGCTTTCGAAGCGTCTCGACGCTCCTCGAAAACGACGATATCGATTCGCCGGTGTGACGTCGCGACGCAAACAAAAACACTTGAAAGGTTATTTGTTTTAGTCGTAAGCCAAAAATAAACGAACAAGGAAAAAAAAAATGTTAATAATAATAATATACAATGGAAACGCGCGTAGTCACTAAGGTAATTTGCAATTGTGATCGTATCTTGGCAACGGCGTTACATAAATGACTATTGTATTTTGTTTGTTACGTTGACGACAATGTCTTTTGTTTTATTTGCTATGTAGGGTGGTTGTTAATGGAGCTCACCTTGTTTAGTCCAGGATCGCGCAGCCTGTCGAGACCGCTCGTCCTCGACGTGCATCCCTTATCCCCATCAGCCCATTGACCGAGTCTGTCCCTGTGCATCTCGGACATGGTGTTGTTGCTTCTTGATTTACTATTGCTGTCCGCCGTATCGTAATCGCTCGTACTGCTGCTGTTATCCTTAGGATTTTCTCTGCCGCTGGTACTTGTCGTTGCGTGGCTACTTCCTCGTTGCTTGGAAACGACGGAATGATACCCGCTGCAACGGGGATTTGTAGTTTTATTAAAGATTCGCGCGCATGCGGAAAGGACGACCGACGTCGCGTGATGTCCTCGCCTGTCCACGACGACGACGACACGCGAGGAAGAAGCTCTAGTTTTTTTTTTGTCAATTTCTCAAAAGGACCAATTTTACTATAATAGTCGTAAATTGAATTTATTGATTTAAAAAAAACAAATCAATCCCTTTTCAGGACTACTCTTCAATAATTAGTTTCCGTCTCAAAAACTTTATTAATTCATCAAGCATGAAGAGTGAACTTGATGGGCGAGCTGAAAGCGAGTCCTGAAAGGCAATTGTTTTCCATTTGTTCTTAGCAAGTTATGAAAACAGTTGCCTTTCAGGACTCGCTTCGCTCGCCCATCAATTTTCAATCTATATACTAAATGGAAATTTCATTGAAAAGTCTTTGAGAAAGTAACTAATTTAACAAAATCAAAGTATTCGATTCGAGCACTCAAACAATTATTTACTAAATATCTTATCTAATATAGTAATAATAATAATAATTGTCCAATTTCCGGTCTAATTGAAAATTTGAGAGAGAAAAAAAAGTCAATGATTACATAAACTTTGAAAACGAACAAAACTTGACACATTTCCAATTCCACTAATTAAATCTAATTACTAAATAGAAAATCAAATTAATTATCAAACCGAAAGATTTAAATTAATATTTCAAAATTGTTTTAATAATTATTTAACAAAACATCGTGCGTTTCATGAGTTATGAATAATTTGCTGAAAGTAATGGAAATTGTACTTTTTAACTGATTTAGATGCATCAAAAGTCCTTTGCTTAGAAGCTCTAGTTTTTTTTGTCAATTTCTCAAAAGGACCAATTTTACTATAATAGTCGTAAATTGAATTTATTGATTTAAAAAAACAAATCGATCCCTTTTCAGGACTCCCCTTCAATAATTACTTAGTGTCCCAAAGACTTTATTAATTGATCAAGCTTTAAAAGTGAACTTGATGGGCGAGCTGAAAGCGAGTCCTGAAAGGCAATTGTTTTCCATTTGTTCTTAGCAAGCTATGAAAACAGTTGCCTTTCAGGACTCGCTTCGCTCGCCCATCAATTTTCAATCTATATATTAAATTCAAGTTTGATTGAAAAGTCTTTGAGAATGTAACTAATTTAACAAAATCAAAATATTCGATTCGAGTACTGAAACAATTATTTACTAAATATCTTATCTAATATAGTAATAATAATAATAATAATAATAATTGTCAAATTTCCGGTCTAATTGAAAATTTGGGAGAGAAAAAAAAGTCAATGATTACATAAACTTTGAAAACGAACAAAACTTGACACATTTCCAATTCCACTAATTAAATTTAATTACTAAATAGAAAATCAAATTAATTATCAAACCGAAAGATTTAAATTAATATTTCGCGATTGTTTTAATAATTATTTAACAAAACATCGTGCGTTTCATGAGTTGTGAATAATTTGCTGAAAGTAATCTAACAAGAGTAATTTAGTTGCAAATAGTTACGAAACATTCGATTAGGATGAGAATCCAAAATGGTTAATAATGTTTATATAACTTTGTTGCATTGCCAACAGATAAAACTAAAGAAGTTAACGATAATGAAAAGCATTTGTTAATTAGATTTGCAACGATGATTTGATGAAAACCAATGGAAATGGAACTTTTTAACTGTTGAATTTAGATGCATCAAAAGACCTTTGTTTTTGACCTAGTCCATAATGTGTATATAGAGTAGTAGAATAGATTTAGTCGGCAACATTTCTCACCTAATCTGATCGAGGTCAGAATCCTAATCAGTCTATTTACGAAATTAAACTAACGAAACATGATGATAACGGCTGAAATCAATATGTTTACTGCAATTAACATGAATTACACAGAAATCCTCTTAATCGGTTGTTATGGCAACAATAACAATCGGTTAATTTGCACGACTCTCTCAGATACATTCCGCATGTTTCTCTCTAAATATACATATAATTTTTTATTACTTTTTATTCATCAGAACAAAATATTTGTAAGTGTATGTAATTTTATCTAAAACCTGAGTGCTTTCAAAATCTGATTAGATTCGGACGTGCGTGCATCGAGCACAATGGATTATTATTATTACACTTCTACGCTACCTACATCCTGCATTTCCATCGCAAAACTTTAAAAATAATTAACCAAACAATCACGTGAAATAAAAATTAAACAAAAATATGACGCGTTCAATTATGAATTTATTCCTTTGTACTTTGACACAATAGAAGCGAAAATATTAATAATTCAGGTGTTTCCAACTTTGTTAAATCAATATTGGTTTATTATTTCAAAAAATAATAATAGATGGCGTTTTTATCTATTATTATTTTTTGAAATTAAATATTTAAAAATGACCAATCAAATTTATTTATTAGGTTTCATAAATATAGAAAATGCAGTCGCCTTTCAGGACTAGTCTTCAGCTTGTACATCAATAAATTATTAATTTCTCAATTAAAAGTTCTAATTGGTATAAAGAGTGAAAAGGCAACTGTTTTCATTTGTTTGTAGGCTAATGCCAATTATTAAGAAAATAGATGAGAAAGTAACTAACTTTTGATGAAAATAATTTGTTGAAAGTGAGTATGAAATCATGCCATCTGTAATCATTTTATTGCGATTTGAAACATGTCAATATTGACATTTCCATGACAATTTTTGTGCGAGTGCCAACTATTAAAAATAAATAACTATTGGTTGCGTGCGTAATTGTAACTATGCAATATAAATCGAATGGATGAGGCGATTGATGATGATGAAGTAATGAATCCTTTCACTTTATCGGAAAGGTGTGTTATCATGTTAATTGGATAATAAAAGTGCAAGATTTTCAGGTGAGAAAGGCAAGGAATCATCATCGAACCTTTTGTTTCTGTGAGCAATGAGAAACGTCCTTTCTTCCATCATCATCGTCCTGACCTTTGCCGGTCTCTCGAACCGTTCACCACTAACGTTATTTATTATTAATAATCCGAAAATGGGTCTTGGTCGAGTGATTAACAAACATCGAAGCATATTAATCTCCTTTATATAATACTCCACTTCTTGTTTAATTATTTATTTAACGTCGTACGTTGTCGCTTTAATTCAATATTTTTTTTTCTCTCTGTTGGTCATTCGTAAATTGGAACACACACTTTAATATATATATAAATTGGATTGGATTGGATCGAACGAACGAGGCTACGTTTATCTAAACATACCTGAATAGATGCGGCGAAGGTGACCCTTCGGAGACAATATCGAATATCGATGATAGTGGTGGCACACGTTCACACCGGAGACGTGAAAAACACGGACAGAAAAAATTGAAACACTTTCGACCTGTCACAAACGCGATTATGACATAACAGCGTGCGCTTTTTCAATCGACGTTTCCCAGGCGATTTTCACTATTTATATTGCAGCGTTTTCTTAAACTGAATTCGTCGCTCGCTATTTTTAACGTTTTTGCGCACACAGCATAAACTAACGATCCGTTAACTTTAACGGAAATAACAAATAACAGAACCGACGCGAATTTATGCAACCGAAATTGATCATCGTCGATTGCCAAAGAAAACAATTCATCACCTAGGTAACAACAAATTAGGATCATGTTTTAGGGTCGTGTATGCCATGCAATCGATGATAATATGTTATCAATGTTTCATAGCAATCTACTACTATTAATTCGAGTGCTATACAATGAATCGTTACCATGGTGATCTTATTGATAATGCACGTTTGTTTCAGATAGCGCAATTGAAAAACAATTGCCTTTCATCATAAAGTTCGTTATTTTCTCTAAGATTGTTTTACTAAGAGTTTCAGACTGAACTTGATGGGCGAGCGAAGCGAGTCCTAAAGGAACTGTAAATTTCAGGACTCATTGTGAATACAAGAATTTAAACCCTTTTCAGATCATGAAAGAGTACAGCAATCATCATAACTTCCTGACTACATCTTGACTACAGTTGCTCTTCAGGACTCGCTACGCTCGCCCATCATAAGATATTTTAAAAAGCAATGAATACTTTACCTATTCATTTTTAATTTTTTCATTGGTTTTTGATGGGCGAGCGAAGCGAGTCCTGAAAGGCAATTGAAGTTTACAAAAACCCTTAAAATGTATGTTATTGTTGATTAAGAAACTTAAATTATTAAATGATTCTAAAGAATGCAGTTGCCTTTTAAAACTCGCCTTCAAAGAAGTTTCTGAAAACGTAACTCCTTATTGATGGGCAAGCGAAGCGAGTCCTGAAAGGCAACTGTAAATTTTAGGACTCATTGTGAATACAAGAATTTAAACTCTTTGCAGACCATGAAAGAGTACAGCAATCATTATAACTTTCTGAAAATCTTGACTACAGTTGCTCTTCAGGACTCGCTACGCTCGCCCATCATAAGATATTTTAAAAAGCAATGAATACTTTACCTATTCATTTTTAATTTTTTCATTGGTTTTTGATGGGCGAGCGAAGCGAGTCCTGAAAGGCAATTGAAGTTTACAAAAACCCTTAAAATGTATGTTATTGTTGATTAAGAAACTTAAATTATTAAATGATTTCTAAAGAATGCAGTTGTCTTTCAGGACTCGCCTTTAGAGAAGTTTCTGAAAACGTAACTCGTTATTGATGGGCGAGCGAAGCGAGTCCTGAAAGGCAATTGTTTTTCATTTACACTAAGTAAACGTTGAGTACTGCTGCAGCTCATCATAAATGATTACAAAATCCAATTAAACTTAGTTCATTGACATTTCTTATATTTTGTGTTAATTTAAGATCTAAATTTGATAACTGTGGTTAAAATAAATTACTAAATTTGATTTTCAATTAAAATTGAAACTGCTTACTGTAACTGGCCGATTTCTCTAAATTACTTTCGACTACAACAATATAGTCTAAATTAGGAAATAACGGCGAACGCGAGTGCTGCTAATTAAACAAACATTTCACTAATGTTCTCAAAATTACGGCAATTATCGCTCTCACGAAACGAATTCTCCACCGTAGATGCCCAGAGGGAAATGGGTTACACAATTCGGTTTCCATGGAGACATGGGTAAAACAATAAGTTATTAAGTTAATTGCTGTTTGAATATGGTGTTGTTATCGTTGCCATGGAGATATTAGGATAAGACGCGGCAAATTTCGAATCGCTTCTGATTGAACTCACCTGTTCTCTTTGCCGTTGAAAATGTCTTTGATGCAGACTCCAGCCGTGTTTCCCATATATCAAGCGATCGCGTTCACTATGTAATAAACACTGTGCTAACCCGGTGCTGGACTTGACTGTCGTTGGTAGAGTGGAAATCGTTAATGAAGAAGGTTAAGTCAAGAGGAGAACGTGTGTGTTGTTCTCGAATTATCGTTTCTGTTGTAAAATGTAAATGCAATTAACGCAAGAACGGAGGTTTCGCTTGGAAATTGTTGCAAAACCGAACAACAACCGACTATTTGTTTCGTCGCCCGAAACTCGCACTTTCTAAACAACAACACACGCTCCTTTAATTGACAATAGAAATCTTTTAGCACGGCTATAGTTTTTTTCTTTATGTCTTCAAATTTTTACCACCACATTCTTATCCTTTTTTATACACGACTTCTTTGGTTGATTATAAGTAATGCGTTTCAAATAATAATTTAAATTCGTAAATTACAATAGCTAAGAAAAATGTTTCTAGTTTTTCATAGAACTTAATACATCGTACTAATTGGAACTTTTAGTATAGATTCTATGAAAATGTAACTCGTTATTGATGGGCGATCTGAAGGCGAGTCCTGAAAGGCAACTAAAGTTTACAAAAACTCTTAAAATGTACGTTATTGTTGACTAAATTATTAAGTAAATTTTGAAGAATGCAGTTGCCTTTCAGGACTCGCTTCGCTCGCCCATCAACAACGAGTTACGTTTTCAGAAACTTCTCAATAAAAATTCCAATTAGTATGTAGAGTTCAGCCTTCAGTTGAGTTCTGAAAAAGGAAATAATTTCATTAAAAGTATTTTTTTATAACAAATAGAAAATCAATCGTGTTTCAAGGATATTATAAGTCTTGTACATGCGATAATATCATTTTACAGTAGTTTACATGCAAAATCTTCAATTAGAATAACTAGTTGCTAATGTTAATCACGATATTGTGATATTTGTAAATCAAGCATTCGAAAATGCAAATATCAACTGTTTTTTTCCAATAATTTGATGTAGAAAAAAAAAACAAAATACGCGAATCACACCATCCGTGATCGATGCAAAAATTTTCAATTTTTTTTTTGATACGAGATTACTACTGCGTTATGTAAGAGACGCGGATGAGTCGCAATGTCTTATCTGTAAATACAAATTAACAGCAAGAGTAATCAAAATAAACAAAACAAAAATTGTTAATTAAGTTTTTACATCCAAATTCCATTAATATTATTATTACGAAACGGAGATCACTACAACCTAATGAATCAAATCGAGCGAACATTAATTAGTTTATCATTCGATTACCACACATTTGGTGATAAATACGGATTTAAACCAAAAATAAATTTTCAAGAGAAATCACACAAGAAAATATACACAGAGTGATTCCTTTTCAAAAAAAAATATACAGAAAATGATAAGATAATACAAGATTCGATGAGAATCACAGTTGGTTATGATTTTGCACACTCATGAGAAACAAATGAAGATGAAATCGCGACACGACATCTGTATTGTCAATAAGAAAATATTTGATATTGGATGAATGATTTGTTGCAACTATATTCATTCATTCACTACACCCACTCCTTTCTTGATAGTTTTTTATATTGACCCAGATTTTTAGCGTTCGCTAATTGTTTCATTATTCGCAACGCAAACAACTGTTGTTGTATAGAAAAAGAGAAGATTGTTATCTATTTTTAACTTGGACTAAAAGGATATTTAACATTAATTGGATCAATGTTATTTTGACTTTCCAAAGTTT